TAATTATTATTATTTAAATTTATAATAAATATAAATAAATTTAAAATAATATTAATATTAATAAATAAATAAAATAATTTAAATTTTATTTTAATTTTTAAAATTACATAATTATGTTTAATATTATTATCTTTAAATATATTATTATAATTATTATTATTATTATTAAAAAATAAAAAACGATTGTTAAAAATGTCGTTATTGTTAAATTTATTTTTTTTTTATTATTATCATTATTAAAATTATTATTATTATAATTGTAATTATTATTAATATTAAATTCCAATTATTTAATATATGGTAAAAAAATTTAATTATTAACGTAACATTTATAAATAAAATATTTAATATTATTATCCAATTTTATTTACTTAATATATAATAAAAAAAATTAATTTTTATTTAAATATTTGTTATTATTTTTTTTATTGTTTTTTTTGTTATTATTTTCTTCGATATTATCTTTTTCGATATAATTATAATCTTTAAATATTTTATTATAAAAATATTTTTTACTGGCAACCTTTTAATTATTAATAACTTTAATTATTAAAAAAATTAATTATTTTATTTTTTTTATTTTTTATTTTTATATTAAATTACCTTTTTTATTTATTTTAAAATAAAATATAAAATATAATTTATTATTAATATTATTAATAAACATTTTAATAACATTTTTAATAAAAAGAGCTTAAATAAATTAAATAAATATTAATTTAATAAAAATATAAAAAAATAAATAATAAAAGTAATTATAAAATAAAATATACACCTTTGTATTTATATTATAATACTTTTTAAATAAAATAAAAAAATATAATATAAATTTATATTAATTTATTTATAAAATATTAAGTTTTAATATAAAGATAAAAAAATTATTATTTTATAATAAATAATAATTTTTATAAAATAAAATTTTATTATTTAAAATATTATAAATAATATTTAAAATTTTTTTTATAATAAATTAATATATTTAATTATTTTTTAATTATATTTAAATAATAATAGGTATTATATAAATTAATTTAAATTTATTTAATTATATTATAATAATGTAATAAGTTTAATTTAAATTAAAAAAAAAATTGGTATAATAATTTAAATTAACGTTTATTATATCTTTTTAAAATTAAGGTATAAATTAAAGAAAAATTTAATTATTAAAATTAAAAATAATAAAATTAATATTAAGAATTTAAAAATAATTTAATATAATAATAAAAATTTATAATTAAAATTAATATAATTAAATTTAAGGATATAAAAATAATAAATATTAATAGGTATAATATAATTTTAAAGTATATATTATTAGGTAATAAATGGATTTAAAAAAGTAAAAAGATATAATTTAATAATATAACTTTTATTTATATGTTAAATATTTTTAATAATAATATAATAAATATAATAAATTATAATATAATATAAAAAACTATTATTAATTATATATAAGGTAATTAATGGATATATTAACTTATAATTAAAATGAAAAACTTAAATAACTTTTTAAATTTTATTAAATTTATTATTAAAAGGAAATTATATAAATAAATATTAACATTTTAAATTTATTTTAATATAAAAAATAAAATAAAAAAAATAAAAAATTATAATAAATTATTAATTAAAAAAAATAACGTTATAATAATTATAAAATTAAATTATATTATTAATATTTTTAATTATTAATATTTTTAATTATTAATAAAAGAAAAATTATAATATTTATTTTTAAAAGATATATTTACGTAAAAATTATTTTATTTAATTAAATAAATAAATAAAATAAATTTAATAAAGATATTTTTATATAAATAACATAATTAATAATTTTAATATAAAATTAAAAAAAAATTATTTATTTAATAAAAAAATTAAATTAAAAAAATAATTTAAATATTATTTTATTAAATAAACGTTAACTTATATAAAAATTTATTAATAATATAAATTAATAAAATTATAAAACTTATAAATTTATAAAATTAATAAAGTTATATTAAATAAATATTAAATTATTTAACATTTTAAATATTACTTAATTATTAAAATATAAATTTAAAAATAAAACTTAATAATTTTTAATAATAATTATTAATAATAATTTTTATTAATTATAATAATTATATATTAATTAATTTTAATTACTTATTTATATAATTTTACAACTTATTTTTTTTTATTCTTTATAATATTTTTTTAATTATTTTACTATATTATTATAATTAATGCTTTATTCTTTTAATTAATTTTTTACTTTTTAATTTATTAATATTATTCCCCGATTTATTATTATTACTCTTTAATTTACTATTATTATTCTTTTCCTTAAAATCCGTTAATCTTACATCTTTTTTATCTTTAAAATTACGTTTATTTTCTTCTTTATCTTTTTTTTTATTTCTCGTATATTAAATACTATTTTATAATATAAAAAAATTTTTTATACATAAATTAAAACGGTTAAATTAAAACAACTTCGCAATTAAATTAATAATAACTTATAATTATTACGTAATTAAATTAATAATAACTTATAAACCCTTTATAATTAAATTAATAATAATTTATAATTATTATATAATTAAATTAATAATAACTTATAAACCTCCCGCATTTTTATAATTTATTTACAATATATCTTTATTATTAAAATTAAATAATAAAAATTCCATTTAAATATAAATTAAAACTTTATTCGTAAATAAATATTTATACTTAACTCATTTATTACTTTTTATTCTTAATATATATTTATTAAATATTTTATAACAGATTTTTTATAAAATAATATAAAAAAGTAAAATAACATAATAATATATACGCCTTATTTACACATTTTTAACTTCATTTAACTTTTATTTTTAAATATATATATAATAAAAAAATAAAAAAAATATTATATATATATATAACATTTATAATAATAATAATATTTTACTTTAATCTTATTATTATTATATATAAAATATTTTTTAAATTAATATTAAACTTAATAAAAACGTTTTATAAAAAAAACTTTACTTAATTTTTTAAAGATAATATTATTAATAAATTTTATTTAAATATTTAAAAATAAAACCTATTATTTATTACATAAATTAAAATTCTTTATTATTTATATATAAAACTTTTATATTATAAATTAATAATATTATTTATTATATATTATATATAATAAAAAAAAAAGATATTAATTAATATATTAAATAATATTTTATTTTAAAATTAATATTAATTTATTAAAAATTATTAACATATTTTATTATATTATTTAAAATTTACCTTATAATTTACGTTTATAACTTTATAAATAATAAAATTAATATAATTTTTTTTAAATTTATTATAAAAAAAATATTTTTAATAAAATTTTATAAAATATAATTAATATTTATTTAAATTTAATATATATAATATTAAAAAAAATTAATTTTATAATTAACACATTTATACTAAATTTACTTAATTAAACATATTTTTATAGATTTTTTAAAGTTTTTTTTTTTTACTTTTATTTTTTAACTTACATTATACTTAAAATAAAATTAAATTATATTTTTTTTATATAATATAAATATAATATATAATTAAATATTAATATAAACTAATAAATATTATTATTAATAAACTTTAACTTATAATTAAAACTATAAATAAAATAATATTATATAATAATTTATATTTATATTTAAAACTTAAATTTTATTTTAAAAATTTAATAAATTTTTTAATAAATTTTTAAATAAATAAAAAAAACATCTCCTCTTTTAATTAATTAATATTACTTTAAAAATAATAAATATTTACCAAATTATTAAAAATATAAAATTATTTAATTATAAATTAAAAACCTTTAAAATTTTTAATATTATTTAAATATACCATTATATTTCTTTTAAAAAATTTAAAAATTTAAATATATTTAATATAAAAAAATAATAAAAACTAAAAAAAAATATAAAATTAAATTAAAAAATAAGATCCGTTATTTATATAAATAAAATACTACCTTTTTTTACTTATAAACTTAATTAAAATTTATTTTTTAAATATTTTATATTTATTTAAAATAAAAAAATTTATAAATATATATAATTATAAATTATAAACATATATATATTTTTTAATATTAAATAATAATTAAAAATATAATTATATAAAATAATAATATTATATTAAATATTTTATTTTATTTTAAAATTATTTTAATTTAAATTATTATTAAACTATTATTACGTAAATTATTAAATAAATATATAACTATTAAAAAAGCCTTATTTTTTTAATTAAATTAATTTAAACATTTAATAATAAGAAATATTTATATTTATAAACCATAAAATTTTAAAAATAACTTTAAAAATCTTTAATAAATAATAAAATATTTTATTAAACTTTTATATAATAATTTAAATATTAATAACTTATTACTAAATATATTAAAAATATATAATTAAATAATTTAACAATTATTAAAAAATAAATTAAATATTTAAATATTTTTTAAATATATCTTAAATATTATTATATATTTTAATATTATAAATTATTTATTAATTAATAAATTAAAATAAATATTATATTTAAAAATTAATTATAAAAATTAAATAATAAAAAAAACGTTTAAAAATTTATTAATAATATATAAAATATTATAATAATTACATATAATAATTTAATAATTTAAAAATTATTTAATAAAAAAATTAACATTTAAATAATTATAAATAATTATTATATAATTAAAAAATATATAATATATTTAAATAATTTAACTATTAAAAAAAAATTAACAATTAAAAAAATTAATAATTTAAAATTTTTAATTATTATATTATATAAACGTTAAGATTATAAAACGGTTAAAAAATTTTAAACTATAAATATATGGAGAAAATTTTTTAAGTATCGTTTAATCATTTATAATAACCAACCGAACTTGGTATGGTACTAAACTGTACATTAGCGAAACTATATTTTGTCAAGTCGTAGCTACCTTAAACCTTGCCTTAGACCGGCTCGCCTGCTTTGCCGGTAGCATTGGCAAATGGGATTGCGTCCTGCAAATCTGGCGTAAGAGCCTTAAAGACAACACAGCAACCTTCTTCGAATTCAACCCGATGTGCTTTAACGTCGGACTTCTAACCAACCTTGCCTACGCTCTTCTCTCTCACAGCTATGTACACCCATTAACGGCTGTTCAAACGTACGGTATATCCCTCAGTACCCCTCAGTATCCCTTGGATCAACTACGATCCAATCCTTCGCTCGTTCATTTTCACCCACTCCTTCACCCTCACCCTCACCCTCACCCTCCACTTCGCAAACCCAAGCCCCAAGAAGAACGGGACCGATCATTATATTAGACCTGGACTTATTATCCCCGCTACCCGCTACCCGTCACCCGAACTCCGTCAAACACGCCAAAACACGTCAAACAACTTATACCTATTAGACTTCTTGTTACCTTTAGGTACTCGAGTCATATAGGCCTCTTGTTAGCTCCAGCCCTACGCTATATTACAAAGCTGGTCGTTCTGGATGTCCCGTCTGGTTACCGCTGTCCGCCCCGTTCCCCATAATCGGTACACTTACTCAGTGGCTACCATTGCTTCCTTGCATTGCGTATGCCGGTCCTTGTTCACCTCTGCACCGAGCCGAGAGACTAAAGGCCGTTGTGACACCACAATCAACGTCCCTCTTAGTTGGCAAGTTACTGCGACGTGCGTAGAAGACATTTGACGGGTTCTTACCACTGTCCTTCCGCGCGAGACGACCGCCTCAATCTCGCCATTCTCTTCCTGAATATTACACGAAACCTGTTCTAGGGCCAGCTTGTATGACTTATCCACCTATCCGACGGTGACAGCGGGATCTCGGTCATACAATACTCGGCTATCCAGAGACACCTCGTTGGCTCGTCTACTTGAGCCTTTCCGTAACCGTCCTAAACAGCCGACTGCTAATTCAGTCGCGAAGCACGAATTTCGGAACTTGCCATCCCATTAGATTTACTTGTAGAGCTCTGCTGGGACACGACATCCTGCTCGTCCCCGGGTTTTTGTTGGCGCCCTCCGAAACAAGCATTTAGCTGGTGCTATTTGACTCTTAAAAAGTCTTGGCTTATGGGTCGAAGTTGGATCTTTTCGTTGAACAGCAGTAGCATCCTCCAGTAGTGGACATCGAATCAAATGGAGCAGACTTTTATGACTATCCACAGTTAGTACCCCTGATGCTCAGGCATGACGGAGACACGATCTTCCAAGGCAACACGCTCCACCTTGCGCCGTTCATACTCAACTAGTTAAGCCGCGACTAATAATTAATACTCTACAGACCTGTCGCCCGACGCCAATATCCTCTTTGTTTCTGAGTCCGTCGTCGATATTCTAGGGTACCAGCCGCAAGCTGTACAAGGCAAATCATGCTTCGATTACTTCCACCCGGACGAGGTCCCATTCGCCCGCTCCGTACACAGCAGGGGCGTCCTTCTCGACAAAGCCGCAGTTTTACACTACGCCCGGATTATGTCGAGTAGTGGCCAATGGGTAAGCTGCGAGTGTTGCTTTACGATAGTTCACGATGTTTTGGTGGCTTGCACAAGTATCTATAGACGTGGTGAAAGAAGCAAGAGTATGTTCCAGATGCCTTATCACGTCGTAGATCAGGTCGTGCTAGCTACTAACGGTCACCCAGGACGAGCGATTGAAGCACCCCATATCCGGCGAATATTCTCATCGTCGCCGAGAGACCCCCGGTATCATATGCTTGAGCACCTATCGCCTAAATTCAAGATGCAACCTATGGAGAGGGAGCCACGTGCCGCTCTCATACTCAACAGGTTTACTAGGACTTTGACGGTGATGTTCGCAACTAACGCCGTTTCTTCGATTCTTGGCGTGAGACCGGATCAAATTAAGGATAAAAGCTTCTACGAATGCATTGCAGAGAACTGCCTAGCAGATGCCATTAAGTGCTTAGAAAGCGCCAAGGCCAACGACTCTATTGCTTATCTTCGATTTTGGTATCGTGATCCCCGAAGGGAGGAAGATTTTGAAGAAGAGGACGACGAAGACGATGAAGACGATGAAGAGGACGACGAAGATATAGAGAATGGGCATCATGATGAACTATCTAAGGATAACGATGAGAAGTTAGATGGCCACGTTCATGCTGAAAACGCTATGGACGTTGACTTCGACGAAAGTTACGGCATTAAGATAAAAACCGAGGCTGGCGTTAGCCCAGAGCTCTCCAAAGCTGACATTCTCGCTAATGGAGAACCTCGGGCCTTTACACGGTCATATCAAACGTCAGGAGTAGCCTGCCACCAGATTCCCAATTCAGCTATGCGGGCAAATAGGCGACGGAGGAGGAACCGAAACCCCATTCCTACGTTTGAACTCGAAGCCGTTGTGTCATGCACCTCGGACGGTCTCGTGGTTGTGCTGAGAAAAGCTCGACCACCAATCCCTTCTCTCCATCCGCCTTTACTTCCTATCGATTTTGAGAATGGTCTCTTTGCCGCGCCTTGGAGCGAGCAACCTATTCGTCCTTATTACCCCCCAGAACATTTCTACACGTTCCGGCCGCCCCTTCTGCCACAATATATGCCTCTACGGGAACATGTAAAGGCAGCGGGAGGGCCGCCAGTTGAACAGCTTATGAAGTCGATCCGAGACGTGGCCGTATTTGCATGGGCGCTCGTAGGCATCAACGGGAATTACGCAGCGTACAGCCGCGGAGTACCAAGGGAGAGCTCGCAGCCTCATGACGAATTACCAACATCGGATTCCAAAGCACCAACGTCGTCGCATATTGGGTTTGAATCACAATCATCCCAACAATCGCAACATTGGGGAGGTCGTTCTCCGCCTGAATGTCGTCTGATCGAATCAAATATGCCCTCGGACGGAGGTTACGCGTCCGGCTTTAATGCCGAGGTATCACAGGGAGGTTACGGTTCTACTTCAACAGAGTATAACAATAGGAGTCCTGGTTACTCAAGCATACCGGCGTGGCCGCACCCAAGGTCGTACACGCCTGCGACCGAATCCTGGCACCCATATGCTCAAACACAGCAACCATCTCTGCCTCCATCGTCTGGGTTCAACCAGCACTCGGCAGAACCATGGGCAGAAGCGTCGGCTTCGTATTCTAGGCAGCATGCCAATAATCAGGCAATACACACAACACAGGCGCACGGATTTAGAGATAACTCACGAGATTACAGAAACATATGGTCATAGAGTCAAAGACCTAGAGTATTTATTTTAAACTTTTGTGTATTAATGAAGCGGTTACCACTAGCAGAGGTCTGGTTCTTGGGCCCGGCTAAGGCGTTCTGGAATAATCATCAAGAGGCATGAGCTAGGGTGGCGCATATTTAGTAGGTCATCATATTATGCGACACCTGGTTTACATGAGAGACGGTATCTGCATACGGGGCAATATGGAGGGAGATATTACTACAAAGGGGGCTTTCACTTATAGTACAGAGATGCAGGCTCTTTAAGCGAAGAGCGAACAACAGGCGCAGAAAATTTTTGAGATACCCGCGCTGGATGGATATGTTGTCGCATATAATTGGCAAATAATAATGCAATATTTGTTGAAATTAGCTTGTCGGGTTGGATTTCCATATGTGACTTTCCTCATGCAGCTGCAATAGCTGCAATACCACAACGGTATAGTTATACAGGTGTTATACAGGTGGAGCGATGTTGAGGGAATCGGTCGAACGGCTCGATTATCCGTTGGGAGTTATACCTGTCTCCTGTCTCCTGTCTCCTGTCTCGCTTGAATCTTGTTTCCTGGTTTTTGTGTTTTGTTTTATTCTTTGCGGTAAATGGACGGGCAGAATGCAAGCAGTGGCACATTGTGTGAAACAAACTTGAACCGTGGAAATTGTGGTTGATAAGGTACTATCGAGGTATCTGCATTATGCTAGGTACATGCATACGGACATGCGTTTGTGTGGTAGGAACGAAGTACTATGTACATCCATGAATTAGGTAAAGAGCTTGGACCACTTATACTAGCTTAGACTTAGAATTGACACGGTGGTACCTGAAGCTCTAATAAGACGAATCAATCAACCAACCAACTACATGTAATCGACGACTTTCGACTTTTGACAACCGACTTTCGACTTTTGACAACCGACTTTCGACTTTCGACACAACGAGCTAAGGGAAATCATAATAGAGGACTTATCGAAGAAGACATTGTAATATTCAAGGAATAGCCTGTGGTGCTAGCTATTGAGCACCTACCACCTAAAATGGCAACGTCCAGCCACCACCACTACGACAGTCCCCAGATCGAAGACGACGACCTGATCGATCCCGATGACGGTAAGTTGAACAGTTAAACCACAAATCCCCATAGCTTCTTTTCTACGCCACATCCATCATAACTCCCTAAGGTACCTAACTAGCCAACTAATTAACACAACCCAGCGGACCTCAACGACTTCGACGACCCCCTCTCCACCGCACAATCCCAGCGCGAGCCCCTCACCGGCAACATCGCCTCCTCCTCCTCCCGCCCGCCAAACGAAAACTTCCTCACGTCGCGCATCCTCCCCGGGGGTGAGGACCGGCGCGCGCCGCAGAACACGATCGACGAGTCGGTCTGGGACACGCTGCGCCGCGACCTGCTGGCCGTGTGGTCCAAGATGCGCGAGGTGCTGTACCCGCGGTACCTGTTCGGGGGCACCATGTTCGAGAGCGCCGACGGCCTGCGCGGCGCCTACGCCAACCTGCGCGGGGCCGGGCTCGCCGGCGCAAGGGAGGAATTGACGAGCCTCGCGGGCCGCGTCATGGACCCGGAGACCCTGCTCCAGGGGAATAATATGAGCCCCGGGCTGAGGGACTGGGACCTCTGGGGCCCGTTGATCTTTTGTCTGGTGTTGGCTGCGCTGCTGAGTTATTGCTCGGCTGAGGGGCAGAAGGATGTTGTGTTTAGTGGGGTTTTTGCTATCGTGTGGATTGGCGAGGCGGTGGTTACGTTGCAGATTAAGTTGTTGGGTGGGAATATGTGAGTTTCTTATTATTCTTCTTGTTGTTCTTCTTGTTGTTCTTCTTCTTCCCCTATTCCTCCTATAACTGCTAGGCTATCGTACTGACGGATACGCAACAGCTCCTTCGCGCAGAGCGTGTGCATCATCGGATACACCCTGTTCCCGCTGGTCCTCGCCTCCCTCATGTCGGCCCTCGGTCTGCCTATGATCCCCCGAATCCCCGTCTACCTCGTCTTGGTAGCCTGGTCGATGGCCGCGGGTATTAGTATCCTGGGCGGGAGCGGCGTCGTCAAGAACCGCGTCGGAATCGCCGTCTACCCTCTATTCGTGTTCTACGTCGGGCTGGGATGCCTTTGTTTCATCAGCTAGGCGCCGTGCGTGTAGTGTAGTAGAGATGGGATGATGGGTCGGTTAGTCAGTTAGGGGGGCGAATTATGAGTATTTTAACAAACAACGATTCTGTATCTACCTATCTTTTTTCCCCTTCTTCGAATACCGCGCCTGCTTCCTTGTATTCTAGGTCTCGTTGTATGATGGAAATGAATCGTGACGTAGTTATTGCCATTTATTACGAGCTATGCCATGATAAGTCATGCGTGCCAACTTTTTGGGAATGCTTACGCTGAGATATCGGAGGGAGTTTGGCGGGATGGATCAAGGTACGGTGGTATAAGAATAATGATCCAAGTATCTGATGCCTTCTTGTCTATACTCGGCACTAGATCTTGAAGTAGACGTGCTGTGCCGTAAAGCCTCTATAGTGCTTGTGGTTTACATTGCTCGGGGGTATATCTACTAGGTAGGTATTTGGAAAGACAATAATAACCCATACAGTTAACTACCTAACCTACCACCCATCCATCTCCTCATCCTCCTCACCCTCACCCTCGCCCACAAACTTCCGCACCCAACTATCCGCCCCCCCTTCCCCTTCAGGCTCCCCCTCCCCTCCACCATCCAACACCTTCCGAAACAGCATCCTCGCCCTATCCTGCTCGTCCCTCCTCCTCGCCAGCGCGGCGTGGTCCTCCGCCGTCTCGGCGCGTGCTCGTAGTTCATCCTCTCCTTTGCCTTTGCCTTTACCTTTTTTCTTTCGCTTCTCCTTCTTCTTTTTCTTGTCTTCTTCAGACGTGTAGATATCGTTGTTGTTGTCGTCGTCGTCGATAAGCCGCGCCGGCAGACACAAATCCCCCACGAACAGCGCTAGATGCGCCCGCAGCCGCAGTAATCCGCGGTGCGCCCCGTACGGCGCGTTTTCCATCACTTGGTCCATTTGCTTGGCGACTGCCTCGGCGGCGACTAGCGCGCGCGTGCGTATCTCGTCGCGGGCCGCGTGGGCTGCCTCCCGTCGTCTTTGGTCTTGGAGCAGCTCCCTGTGCGATTCGAACGTCTCTTCCGGGTACGCCACGTCCACGTCCACGTCCAACCCGTACCCCTCGTCTTCTTCTTCTTGGTCCTGTTGTTGTTGCTGCAGGCGATGCGTCGCAGCGCGCATCTCGGCATCGATATTATACACCTCGATGCCGAAGAGCGCGGGCCAGAAGTCCAGCGCGCTGGTGAGCTGCGGCCGGTGCGGGTCGTGCGGGTGTTGCTGGATCAGGGTCTCGAAGTAGGATTTCACCTTGTCGACGTTGGCGGCAGAGCCCCAGCGGCGTAGTTCGTTGTTGGCTTGTCCCTGTTTTTTACGTCCGAGCTGGTCTTCTTCTTCTTGCGACTCCCCGTCTCGCATGAGGATCTCGGAGCCTACGGCCCATAGCCCGGCCTGGCGGATGTCCACGTCCTTGGTCTGCACTAGCAGCCCGAAGGCACGCTTCGCACGCGCGATATCGCCCTCGCCGAGACAGCGGTGCAGGATCGTTGTCAACGTGCTTAGATGCTTTAGGCGCTCCGAGTGCTGCTGCTTTGACGTAGTGCCCTTGTCCCGCTTCTCTGCGACGGCATTTTCATCATCGTCTGTGCCGGCGTTGCGCTTCCTGCGTCGCTTGCCTTCTGGCTGGAGTGGCTTGTGCGGGAATAGGGGGTTTGCCTTGGAGGGTATCTCGTCTGCAGGCGACAGTCCGGCAACGGCAAACTGCCGGAGGGTATCTGGCGTGTGGCTGAGGGGGTTGATGGAGTCTGGGGGGAGACGCGAGGAGGGCGTGCTCCAGTCAGATTCGACCCAGACTTCCTCCTCATTTTCTTGGTTATCATCTGTCTTCTTGCGCTTGTTCATGCGGTGGTGTGCACCGAGGCGATAGCCCGGCACCGGGAGAGCAAAAGGTCCCATGGTGTTTTTTTCTTTACCGCTATATAGACAGGTGCATTCGAAGGTTCCCTGGTTCTCTGAATTATAATAAGAAAGTCTTGAATTAGCAAGAAACTTATTGTTGTCCTAGAAAAGATTATTAACGTTGTGTTCCCTCAGAGTCAGCTCCAATATTTTTGAGCTTCTGCGTTATCAGAGCATTTGCGGGCCGAGCCGCCCTTGCATTAGCGCCTGTTATTCCTACATAATTATCACCATCGTTGTCGTCTTTCGCTATCTATCTCCTTTTAATAATATTCTAATTCTAACTTGTTATTGTTAGAAAGGTTATCGTATGACCGGTCTCAAGTAATTTCTGGTTTAGACGGCGCGAGCATCAATATATTATTTCCCTCTTCCTTTCCGGAGATATGTCGTAATCTTGGCCGTAATTCTATACCTTAAGTCTCAACCCGTGCATACGTACAGACGCGATGCATTGAATAAGGAGCATAGTAGTATAATATTTAGATCGTAAAGACACTCCAGTAATTAAACACAATTAATTTAGCCTTGCTTAAATCCAATGAGCATATTGCAGCAACCCGTCGTACTTACATCACTGAGACACCTGTTCTAGAACTGCTGCGGGCTTAAATCTACGTGGCATTCATTATGTGAACCCCGATATTCAAATACTTATGATGCCTTGAGTATACAGTAACCAGTAATCCTTATAATACGATAGGCAATGGCGTATGACACGGGGTTCTTCGTTGAATTACGTTCAACAAGGGGGACCTCAATCAGGGGTAACGTAGCAGGACAGCTTTCGCAAGACCGGAAAGTCACCATATTTTCCCACGTTTAGACGACGGGCGACATTTGATCTCTAATTCGCGCGGTGATAGCATTAAAAGCGTCTGATATCGTGAACCGTCTTCCGTATGTACATGCTTTTATCTACCGTACACCTGCTCCGTGATATACCGTACGGAGGCAATTTACGGAACTCGTAGAAACTCGGCGATGCAAAGTCCATCTATTGCGAGTCGCGCTCGAAGTAGGTCCATTGGCCCTCAGCAGGCTTCTCCTCGAGTTCCTCCCATCTGCCACCGCGGGGTCAGCTTTACCCGTAGTCCGCAGTCCCCTTGGGTCGAAAGAAAGGGGAAGAAAGTAAAACTTACACTTTGTTTTCTTGCATGATATCCACGAGTCTTAACTCGTTCTCGGCCACTCGCACCACCTCCTCGATCAGGCCACCTCCGATCTTGCTCTCGATCTCCTCGATCCTAGTACCCTATCGTTAGCAATACTTCGCCTCATCTGTGTATATAAACTCGACCCGCATAAGAAGATATGAGAGCAGATGGCGATGACAACTCACTGATCAGCAGTCAACTGCGGCTCCGGCTCCCACGTAACCTTATCATCTGGACTATCCGTCGGCGGGCGCGAAAACACATACTCGTGCTCCCCACGCTCCTCCGCCCCCTTCAACCCCTCCGACCCGGGCCCCTCATCCCTCTCCCCATTCCACTCCTCTTCCCGGTCGTCCCTCGGCGCCGGCTCGGTGCGGTACACAAACAGCTTGCCACCCGATTTGAGCTGCAGCGCAAGGGACCCCTCGGCGGACTGACCAGCCCCGCCGGTCGACACGGTGAAGCGAGTCGGGTTCTCCTCGGCGATCTTGCGCGCGCGCGCCACCCACTCGGCGTACCCCGGGGGCTCGGCGGCTTCGACGATGGCGAGGCGGTGCTTGGTCAGGGCTTCGACGGACTGGCGGTAGAGCGAGGACTCGGGGACTTCTTGTAGCTTCTCGAGCGTGCGCGTGTATAGGTATAGCAGGGTTGAGCGCGGCGAGGGGTGGGTGAAGAGGCCCGTGAGGCCCGTCGGGGCGCCGGGCTCGAGGTATCGCGCGGGCTTGACGGCCGCGAAGAGTCGGAGTGTCCGCCGCATCGTGCGCAGCAGTTGTTGTCGTTAGCTGCTTCGACGAGATGGGGTATGGATTGGAAAGGGAAGTCAGCCCAATTACTACTACCTAGTGGGATTCGAGTTTCTGTTGAAAGCACCTCGGTGGGTATTCTTTCTTGTAAGTTGTAAGTTGTGAGAGGTTTACAAGCTCGAAAACGTCAGAGCTCGGGGTCACATGATATTGTCCAATGAGATTTATCGAATTATTAAGTACCCCGATATGTCCTTATCCAGCCTGTTACGCTCTTGCTTTGGCCCCAAAGCACATTGGAAGTTGAGCCCAAACGCTAACCCGAACTGGTAATTTACGGGCCTATTACTTGACCCCAAAGCAAGTGATTGCTTTGGGACCAAAGGACCTTTGAAGTTGACCCCAAAAGCTAACCAGATTCGGCAATATTTAGACTGTTGCTCAATTGACCCAAAGCAATCTCTCACTCACTTTGGGCCGAACCTGAGTGCTTCGAATCGCTAGAACAGGGCGCTGCACACGCCGAAACCCCTATAATTACAGCGCACTACATACAGCCTCCAAATCCCTATCTTGCAACACACCTCGTCGGACGTTTTTAACTCGTTTTTCTTTTTCCTCGCCTTTTTCCATTTTACCTACTTCGTAATTAATTGATTAACCTAATGTTTAATAACTGATTATATCTTTTCCAATCATGTAATTCAATTGTATGTTAACATGGAGAAATATTCATCTACGTAAATAAATATAAATAACAGTGAAGTGACGAAGTAAAAGTTGAGCCCAAAGCACATCAGTTTGGGACCAACATCCCTCCTCCCATATCCGGTTAGCGTTTGGGTTCAACTTCCAGCACACTTTGGGCTATTCTGCCAGGACTTTCCCATTGCTCTTGCAGCAATGCACTGCGCACCTACCCTCCTCCCTATGTATCTACGTACCACACCCCACTAATATTCTGCCCGCCCCACCCCCTCACCGCCCAAAATTTTATTATAAAAGAACCCTCTCCCCTCCCACTCTTAGAAATTTCTTCTTTTCTTTTTCTTCTTCATACTTACCTTGTTCGAAGGACCCTCGCTCAAGCATGAGGGCCCTTAAGGGGGAAGACCTGCATTGCACAGCGCGGAGTCGACCCTCTTCTATTATCCCTCGTGGATCGTAGCGGGCGCAATTTTTGCTCTCTTCTCTTTTGCGAAAAAGACACGTTTTCATTGTGTGCGGTGCCTTGTGCATCGCCATGAGGAAGATGATTTTGATTGGTAGTAGGTAGATAGATAGACATTGGAGGTCGAGCAACGTACAGTTTTGTAGCTAGATTTTTGCAATACGCTTTCGTAGAGGCTTGTATCCGAGATTGTTTTTACGCTGTTGATGGTCATAACGTTGGTTTAGTCTTGGTGTTTGATTTCGGAGCACTGCCTTTCGCGTGCTATTTACGCGTACTATTGACAAGCAACCTCGCCATGAGAACTACATACGCGTATCGAAGTTACCATTTAAATACCATGTCATCGTGTAATTTCCGTAGCATGTTTTTATCTGGGTAGAATAAGCCACTCATGATATTTTATTATCATACTGGTAACACCAAGTTCGTTGATATCTCGTAGAATTCCACATTATCGAATATTGTGTCTCATACGGCCTGAACTGCTATGTAGTTTACCTAACATTACGAGAATGATAATCCGCCCAACGCGATACTATCAAATAAAATAGAGAGCTAACATAGATTCACTAGCGGCGTTGCCCGTCCGCTCAAACGCGGACGGAGGAGGAGGAGGGGGGGGGGGAGGGGCCGGCGATTATGCGCAAAACTGACGCCACAGCTGAAGTCTGGCCTCTGATTGGCTAGCCACACCTCAGCGCACGTCCGATGAATTTTTTGTAAAATCAATTGATCTATTTCAATACAATGTAAAAGTTTTGATAATTGGTATCGTTAGATAGAGCTCGTTTTGCATGACCTTTCTATACTATTTGCACCTCTTGCAGACGTTATGCGATAGAATGGCAAAGGGAAAAGTCGCAAACTGCGGGGCGATTCTAAGTATCTGATTGGTTGAAAAAATTGTGGCAGTACTAATTAAATATATAAGACTTGATATCGTCACATTACTAGGCCATGAATATCATATGTAGGACTTTCATATTTGCAAAATCGTCTCAATTAATCGTCTCCTAAACGGAAGCAGAAAACTAAACATTGAGGAATTCCGCTAAGGAATTTCTTTGATCGCCTCACTCTCGTCTATATCACACTTGCTCAAACACGCAACATGTCAGATCAAGCAGCAAAAAAAGGGAAAAAGAAATAGAATCCTGACAGATCTGCCACCGTCCTTATAGGCTCTAAAAGCCTGGTCCCAGTCGGTTTTTGCAAAGCCCTACAATGGATATATTCCGTCCTATTCATGGGCTTCGCGGGTATCAATCATCTACGCAGCACTCTCGCGGCTCTTGCGGTAGTTGGCCTACAATGACATGTTAGCTCCAACGTAGATAAGAGTTCAACAATGACGCCATTAACTGACCTCCTGCTCAACCTGCAAACCCTCAATGACAGGAGCAAGCTCGTTCAAGATCTCGGCGGCCTTCTTGTGGTACTCGAGCTGGGCAGCGACGAGCTCAGCAAGGTTGCGAAGAGGCTCAGGAGTATCCAGAACCTGCGAATTCGAATTAGCTAACAAACCACGAAACCACGAAACCAACAACCCAACTTCAACTTACGTTTTTCATGACGCTCACAGCTTCTTCGGTCTGAGTGACGAATTCGTCCTCGGCCTTCTCAATCTCTTCCTGGGCTTCGGCGCTCAGCTCCTCAGTGTGGTGATCTTCGCGCGGGTGCTGGCCGATCTTCCAGGTATTGCCCTTAACACGGGCCTTGACCGAGTCGAGGGTCAAGCGCGCCTTCTCGACGTTCTTGCGCGCACGCGTTGCGAACATCAGATTGGTGTTCAGGGTAGTGTTCCAACCGGCCAAGTAATGGCTCTGGATCTGGGCATCCTGCGCGAGACGGGCCTCGCCCAGTCGCTCGCTAGCCAGCGCATACTTCTCGAGCGCGGTCGCAAGAGGGTCCTCGCCGGCGCCGGTGTGTTGCTGGTGTAGGATCTGGGAGCTTGCTAAGCTGGCTCGGGCGATGGCGTGGGAGAAGGTCTTGGGCTGGGGCTTTGCGGTGGGGGGTGCGGTCAAGGCGGCCTGAGCTTCGGCGGGGGTGGTGGCAGCGGAGAGGAGCTGGACCTTCTCGCTGACGGTACGGCCAAGATCCGAAAAGCTCTCCTTGAGATTGTTAGGATAGTCGTAAGGTTCGTGCGAGTATTGCGAGCTATGGTAAATCCAAGTACGTTAGCTGCAGGTATTTAGCGCATTAGGTATTGTACAAGATGTGTACGTACGTCACTGCAAGCATCTTCTGATGAACTTGCTTTAGGGCATCCACTCGTTTTTCAAGATCAATATAATCGGGAGGGAGTTGGGTCTATAGGGAACTTATTGTTAGCCATAATCGTCAACACCCCCCACCTGAGCATTGAAAACGTACCTTATCCTCGGCCTGGCCAAGCTGCTCCTTGGTGTACTGAAAGGTACGGGAAGCGAAGGGAGTAATCTGAGAGCCAATAGAGCTAGCATGATATCAGCATCTACCTATAAGCCACATAATGCAGATACCTTCATAGCGGTATTATATGTGGTATTGGATGTGAATTGGATGTGTAGCCGTGTAGCATACCTCAAGCTGCTACCAAAAGCCTTGAAATTGTCCATATTGGCGGTTGAAGGACACAAAAATGGTATTATTTTTTTTATATAAAAAAGGTGTCGGTTGGGTTATTCGCTCGAGGGTCGGATGCTAGAAAATCGATCAAATAGACTTGAGAGATGTTTCAAATTTCAAAGCGTTGCAGATTCGACACTCGACTTACGAAGGCACATTTGAGTTTGGCGTAATCAACTGCCTAATCGGTTTATCCTTTGCTGGCTTTGTCAGGGGCATAGTACCGCTGTCAGCTGGCGGCAGTCACGCTAACTACCGTACTAGGTGTTTCTTGACACGTGAGTTTTTACATCCACCCCTACATACGAAACATGTGCTAATTCAAGGAATCGGTTGTGACGTAGCTGCCATGCACTTAATTGTATAGGCTCGCCATGTACATAGATATGTATATAGAGCTCACATATAGAGGTTACATAGTTATTACATGACATAGTTATAGTTTCTATATTTCTATCATTCGTTCCTCACTCCTCCTTCCCATAGACACCTATATAATCAACAGTCACATGGGATAAATATAAAACTTCCGTACTAAGACAACTTTATTATTTTGACAACTACCTCATAACATATCATCTCACCTTATAACAACAGACAAGAACGATAAAGTGTGGCAGGTAAGTAAAGAATATGCTCCCAAAAACGCGCGTGCAGCCTACCTTCTTGTACAACGCTGTGAATTATTTACTGCTTCCCGGTTAAACGCCTTCTATCATGTAGGTTCCACAACCGCCACCATTATGCAACCCGCCCGCCGAGGCCTATTTCTAAATGTGATAATTTATAATATTGAGATTATACCCTATTTAAGTCAATTCGGTCTACGCGACTTCATGTGCCCCGAACTGGGTCTGTCTTCCTCACCCTCATCGCCATTGTGTATTGAGATATCTCGCCTGAGAGGACTTCCCCCATTCCCACTACGCCGTTGATGGTGCCCCCCAGGTACGTCGAGACCCCGAGCTGGAGGTTGTGATGGATCTTGACCAGCCGGTAAGGACGACAAGGGACCGGGCGAGGGCGCGCGAGATAAAGACGATTCGGGGATGCTGTCGTTGCTGTCGTCTTTATAGCGTTCGGTTTGGCCCCCTTCCGGCACCTTCACATCCCAGCCCCTTTTTTCAAGTTCAAGATCGGAAAATTCGTACACTTGACCCGGTGGGGGTATAGCAAACTTCTTCGACTTCTCGACAAACTGGTTGTACTGGCTAGCTTGTGCCATTTGGTACTTCTTCCGGTCCTCATCTCCCATAATACTTTCCACCCGCCGGGGTAAATAGATCGAGTTGTTTCCAGTAGTTAAGAAACTGTCCACCGAATCACGATCGCGAAGAACATAACGGGAACCGGAACCGGAACCCTCTGGGGTATTGAAGCTGAACGTTGACTCTTCTGGATATGCGTAGAATCCGTTTGCCTTTTTCTCGGGGGCCGCAAATTTACCCTCGACCTTCTCCGGAGGTAGCACGTTGCTTTTGGATCTTTGGACGGTACCGGCCTCTTTTCCTTTGCTCTTCCGTCTTTGCACTTCAGCTGCTGGGATGAAGGTCTCTGGAACGACGTTGAGATCATCTCCTGTCTGCTCAGCCTGCTCGACAGCTTGCTGCACCGTTGTATTCGCATCTGCAGTAGCAGCGTCTGCACGGGGCCCGCCCCACGTTCTCTGGCCGGCAGTGAATATGCCGTAGACCATATAGTACCAATTGAAAAAGGGGTTAAGAATGAACATTATTGGGTAGAGCCAAATCTTGAATCGCTTTAGCTTTAAGCCAAAGTAAATCATCATAAGCCAGTTCAGGCCGAGGGAAATAGCAATGAATCCGACGGGAAGCCGATCAATCCTTATAGTCGTCGTCATTATCGAAAGCATCATGATAAAGAAAAGCAAAGCCGTCGTCCGTATCGTATTCTGCATGAATCGCACCACGAGCAAGATTGGGTATCTCTTCCAAAGACGCCAGTCGGTCAACATGCAAACTTCGTTCGTGATAAACCCAAGGAACCATCTTCGCCGTTGTTTAATCAGCGACTTAACGGTCTGCACTGCTTCCGTTTTACAAAACGCCGAAGTACACATTTGAATCTGGTACCGCTTCTTGGCCCCAATCATGAAAAGATGGGTAAGCCATCGATCTTCGCCCAAATGGCTTTTCGCGAAGTCAAATAGGTCCTCGCACTGCTCAGCTTTGTCTGCAAAGTAGTATTTGGCCATTCTTCGGAATGCAGAGAATCGTAACATGGTCAAGGCTCCTGGTAAGCATGTGACCGCGCCGCATCCTGACTCTACAGTCCTTTCAAACAGCTGGCCGTGGATGTATTCCATATCTTGAAGCAAGGTGATGATACTATGCTTCCTTGTCGTCGAGGTAATGACACCCGTCATGGCCAACATGTCCCTGCTGTTCCCTGGGCTAAGTTCCATGTCGTATATGAAGTTTTGCAGACACACCCTATCCAGTATGCAATCCGAGTCGATGAAGAGAATGAATAGGTTATCGTTCCGCTTGAGGTACTCTTTATAGACTTTGTCGATGAGTTTAAATGTCGACTTTTGACAGTGTCGCTTTCCACCGTGGGGAAAACGTGAGACCGTAATTCGAGCCGATCGGTATGAAACATCGATACTCTTAGGGTATGATTCTAACGTAAGAGGAACACCAAGCTTCTCGATCGTGTTGAGATACAATTCGTCTTCCTGGTCTCCATCGAATGAGAGAAATACGTGAATGCACGAAGGGGGGTAATCGCAGTCCACAACTGAGTTGATAGCTGTAACGAGGACATCCGGCTCCTCCTTATAGCAAGGCATCACAATGACGACTTTGGGTGCAGAGACCTCATCCAATACTTCTTTAACCCGTTTCCTCCTCCCGAGTTGATGAGTGACAAGCTGGTAAACGCAGAAAAGCCACGGAACGGTTAACAATCCCGCAAAACTCCAGAATGCGAACCACTGAAGGATGTCGACCATATTGGGTGGCCAGTACTGGGTTATCTGGCTAGGGAGAGGTAGAGTGACGACCATGATGGGTAAGAAGATAAAACTGTTGTTTCGTTAGCAACAGTAAAATTAGGGGGCTCTATACACGTACCGAAGCCCCGTGAACAGGAAACCGACGGCAATCGCTAGCACCCTAATTGTCCAATGCTCTGCCTTCTGGAAAACCTTGACCAAGCAATACAGAAAGGCAGATAACCACAGAAACCACTCGAGAAGGGCCGCTAACATAAGAACGCCTACGATCGCCGTGTAAATTATCTGAAAATAACTGTTAGTACACTACCCAACAAACTGATAATATTGTACCAGGTACAGAGCTTCTTACCTCATGGACCGGCCATGTTTCCGTGATGTTTCGTGCCATCATAGAACTGATCGTGTAAGTTGTCGATCGGTTCTAGGCCGAGGAATGAGAAATGGCAGGTGGATTTCGAAAGATAAATGGATTCCGTCACGTTTGGTTTTCAAATTCGGATAAGGGCTTGGGGTGTGGCTCGCTTTTCATGCAAGCATCGTTTTTACTTTCGAAAAAAAAGAGCCCAGTGGTGACGGGTTGCGGTTACACCAGAATGTTTATTTGCGGCTACCCGCAGCAGGATGCAAGGGGGTTCCCTCGCCTTGTTGTGTGAGAGTTTAAAAAAGACACGAGGTCAGCTGCGTTTCTATATTCCGTATAACGAGGGATGTGCTGTGACGATCTGGTTATGATATATGGCGTATCCTAGACCTCGAGATGAGGTGGCGGCGCCTCCTATTGTTGGCTGAGGGATGAGCCAACCAGGTAATTGGTCCCAACGGACAAGGCGAGTGCCACGATAATCCGTAGACGATAGAGATGGACTTGAGAATGTGTAACAACCGGCTGAGCTGTCCTGTCCACTCGCTAGCTCCGGGTGCCTTCTCGGGTCGCAAAACTTTGCTATTCGAATCCGAGCAGCAATTTGGAGAGTCCGGTGTAGCACGATGATTAATATATCAAGAAAGTTTTCATCATGTATACAGAAGAAGTTTCCGGTGTTTCGAATTGTCGCTAGTGTATAGAATAGGGTTTACATATAGGTGGACGAAGGATGGACTTATGGTAAGTGGGAATGAACGAATATAGTCGCTGTCCTCATCGACGGTACCAAGTAGAGTAGCTCAGGTACTAGGCGTCGAAGCGGCTTAAATGGATAATGAACGCTCACCGGGTAGGGAATACGGATAGCTGGGCTCTAAGGTCAGCAAGCTCTTATGTATATTAGTTAGGCGATGGCTCCGGTCTGGACTGAGAGCTTGGCGGAAAAGTACAACGGCCGGTGGTCAGCGGGACCTGCAGGCGAACTGCAGGTATGGGGACACTACCCCCAGCGTGCTGCCTGGTCTAGATATTCTTCGACTCGCAGGGTATAATACGGAAGATGGTGAAGTTGGCTAGGTAGAGGGCTGTTGCGTACGACGGCAAGCAAGCATAAACGCGGTTAATGTAAGAGAGTGTGGCGACGAGCGTTCGATGTTTGGCCTCTGGACTCTAAACCTGGCTGGATCGGACGCTTCCATTGTAGGCCGCGTCGACCGCAACTGGGGATGAAGCAAAACGGAGATAGAAAACGTCTAGAAAGCCGAATGAGTTGCAGGGATATAGCAAGCTTACCGTTGATCCTATTGACCCCATGCACGGCAGATGAAATCGCCTCGGAGCGTTTGCGTATTTGGCGGCTATGGATATTTACGTAAATATAAGAAGAAGAATAAGAAGAGAAAGAAGTCTCAACAATGTTATAGAAGGAGAGTGAAACTGGGGTACATAGTAAACTTAAAAGGTCTGTTTATACTTGGACGTACCTACCTTAGGCACATCTTATCTTACATGTTTACTTCCAATGATGTATTGGATCATATGTACCTTACGTACCTAACCTACAAGGTACATAGGTAGCAGGTGCATTAGAAGTTGAAGTTTACATGAGGTATGTATACTAAATGATACACTTGTACCTGCCTATATACATTAAAGCTACCTAAGCTAACACATGTGAATGTTGCACTTACACATTCGCGTGTATGTACCTAGTGTGTTCATTCGTATCGCAGCTATAAGAAGAGTACGTGATGATCGTGTTGAGAAGAAGGCAGAAGAAATATTGAAGAGAAATTAAAAACATCATAAGGCGTAAGCTGTCTAGAATATCCAATAAATCGAATCAACTAGGCTGCGTGGTCTTATTACGAATACCTAAGTGGATTATAGATACACTCGATCACTTTAGCCAGTAGTGCTAGTGCTGGCCCGTCAATATGGTGGCTGCGTACCGGGCCGTTTAGCAAGCAATTGCTATTAATATTTCAGTTTGCTTGTTTCTTTTTCCTTTCTCCCCACAATGCTGTTTATAGAACACAAGGCGTGCTGTGCTGTATGTATTGCGAGGCGATCCCAACTTATTAGGTGCATCTGAATTATCCGATCGATGAGTTAGGGTGTATTCATTAGTAAAGACCGGGCACTCAAGTTGCAAGACAAGTGACGTGATGAAGAGTTGGAAGAGTTGTGATATGTATGTTAGGTACCTAAGATCCTTTCAATATATACGAGTCGTACGGAGCATGGATATCACGGGCTATATAATTCGGTTTGAAGTTGTTGCGCTATTGCTTCATTGAAGAAGGCAGGTAGGTGGCTTAGAGTTTTAAGACGAGCAACGGCGGTACATGAGAGACATACGGATATGTAGAAGGAAACGTTAAATCTCGGCGCCAAAGGCATATGGTTTAAACGTCACACGCGGCTTAAAAAGGATACAGCGTAGGGCCGCGTAGTGGACTTTACCTCAGTCCAGGCGAAAGGGGGGCGGGATGGGAGCGCGCTAATGGTCGATCTAAGCGAACTATCCTTGAATGTTTCCCTGCAAGGGTGAAAGTTAACCTGCCAGCCTGCCACGTAACTGCGTGCCGTGCCCAGACCCCGCCAGGTACAAGCGGAAAGTGCAAAACGAAACGTTATTAAGCGCTGAAGGGGGGACTAAAGGGAGCACTGACATAACCTGAACTGGAGAAGGCCTGTGGGGTGGAGCCGAGATCTCCGATGTGCGATGAATCTATCGACTCTATCGACTCTACACCACTTAAACAATTTATACAGAGTTATAATACACCATCTCACTACAACATTTACTTCCCCCTTCGCATCTCATTGCCTAGATCTCTCATAGGGTTCCATCCAAGATCCATGCGCGCACACGTAAGCTGCAATATCAGTTCCACGAGAGCAATAAATTAATATTGCAGAGGGTAGCAGTCGCGAAGGGGCGAGAAAAAAAAAACGAGGACTCGCCAATATAAAAATGTCTGGGGAGCATGCGGCGGCACCTCAATGGTTAATTACTTACCGTTCCATACCAAATCTACTCTAGGTAGCTGTGAGATCCCAGCCCAAGCACGGCTTTCCAACCAACCGACATCAACCGGTTTATCCGACATCCCGCTCGATGGTTCATAACCCGTCGGCCCTGTCAAGTGTCTAACCTACCTAGTAGAGTGACTAACGGAAACTACCTACTAGTCGTAAGACACTATGGATCCGTCATGTCTAGATGCAAGCGAGACTATTAAATAGAGCATATGCAGCTATTTGCAATTCCATGTAGCCAAGTTCGTGATCGCGTTGTCCCGAGTGCATGGGCCCCCCTCTGGCCGGAGAAAAAAAAAAAAAAACTAAAAGCCATGGGTTTCTGAAAAGTTCGCCACGAGCCCTAGCTAGAAACAGCTGCCGGCCTTGCTATGCGTTTTCCATCTTCTTGTCTAGGGTCTATATACCTAGTACCCGACTTGCAAAATAGCCAAAAGTACGCAATTGGTGGGAATTAAACGACCAGGCTTTGCCGCTTCGCCCGTCAGCCTACGGCTCGAACTTAGAGGCGTGAAGAGAACAGCCAGGAAAAGAAAAGGGGGAAAGAGAAAATGGGTTGGTTGAGACTTGATGTGATCGATGTTGCCAAGCAAATACGACGATGCATTTTGCTGCAGTCAAAAAAGGTGCTCAGAAATTAATAGTTCTTTCTTTCTGACTGACCATGCGGCCCCCATCCGAAGTTCTAGATAAGACCTCTCTCGGGTAAAGGTGGAAGGGAATGCGATCCTGAAATGTTACTTGCATGACGTGCTTTGGCGCAGAGCAGGCCTGTGGTTCAATGAAGCCCGGCTTGCTTCCTCTAGTTCCAATAACAATCTGCACGAATTTCTGACCATCACTTATTTGGTCTCTGACCTATCGATTTCAGCTGCAAGAGCCTGCGTCGCCAAGCCTTAAATACGAGCCGCCGTCATGACCAGTCGACCAGTCAGGAATGCTCCCTACCTATGTTGTGCAACCCTATACATACCTACATACGTATCTTAAGCTAACAGTACATACATACGAACCAGACGTGCGAGCTGAGAAAAACGTACAAATTTGGCCACATCTCTTTGCAGTTTTCATGAATAGATGATAGAAGCTGAGGAGAGTTTGATGATATGTCTGTTCCAGGGGGATCCGCTCCCAACGCTCGGTAAGAGGGCAACGATCCTACCGTTCGATTCAATGATACATTATCTTCATAATAAATGTAAGTCCTGGAAAACAATTAAGGAATTATATTTATAGTTTCTAGACAATACTATAGGCGTTTTATTAGAGAATGTCTTAAGAGTGACGCACTTCGAAATTGGTTACCAATTTCACTTGATAGGATCATGAAGTGCCTAGTAAAAATAGTACCGTAAATATCAATTTGTATAAGACTACTTATCATGGCATCTGAATCAAGCCGCAACGGTAATCTTATCTACTAAGTTGTAATCGCGAGTGAAGAATGTACATAAATCACCTGCGTCATGTTACGCATTTCAAGTCAGTGTGAAATGAGTGACTTTAGCTATAAATCAGCATACATAGAACAAAAAGCAGCGCCATGGCTAGCGCCATAGGAGCAATCTGCAGATTCGCCAGTCTATCCGCAGGTTTGTTGTCCATCGTAAGATGGCTTGCGGGACGAAGTTAGGCATTGAAACCTAGTATTGGTTCGTGCCAAAAAAACGGACCACCCGGGAAGGGCCGGATGGCCATCAAAGCAACAACTACTTCCCCGACCCCTTTTGTTGGCCTGCATCCTCAAGTCCTCGGGCTGTCTCCCCCCTTTGTCGGCCTTCTGCTGCCGGCGACTTGGACATGTTAACTTCATTAACATTGACAGGTTCGTCGTGACGGGCGCCTCTATTATGAGACTAACATGGCCTGAGATTATGAGACTTCCGCCTCAAGTCTTGCGTCGAGGAATATATTATGCTCCCACCGAAGATTGTAACTTCCGCATGAGACATGTGCATAACCAGGAGACATCAAATCTC